GCGCTTTGCTTCTGCGTAATTAAGATTAGCTATCTCGTATTTTTTCATATATATTATTAATACGTAATCACACGATTTTTGTCTTACAATTTGGAACAAATAAGCACTTGTGAATTTTTTCAAAGACCACAAATTGCACTCGCCCTACTGGCTCATGAAATTTTGCTAATCTTTGAAAAAATTAACTTGTGCTTATTTATTCCAAATTGCACTCGAAATCGTGTGATTACCTAGACAAAGTCGCTTTTATTTCGTGTTTATCCCAGAATTTGTGGAGCGATTGCCAACAATCTTTCCGGTCAATATATGAATTACCAACTTGTTTGAAATTGAGCACCGCTGGGCAAAATGATTAATTTCGGATCCTTCGACCGAAGGAACGCTTTGGATTAGTGATCCAGTGATCCGTCTTCAGATCACGCAGATCAGTGATCCAATGATCCGTCTCCTGATATCACTCAGATCAGTGATCCAATGATCCGTCTTTAGATCACGCAGATCAGGGATCCGATGAATCCTAGTCCAGAGTGGATTTGATAGATCACTGATCTGAAAATGGATTTGCTCGAAAGGAACGCCACAGATCAGAAATCCTGATTCGGATTCTCCCAAAGGAACGCACCCTTAGTCAATGAGAACATTTCTTTCTTGATATTAGAAGTTTGTTCTGTTGTCTCACGACAAGGTCACTTGATGTGGAACGCAACGTTACGACTGCTTACTGCAAGTCTTCTTCTGGCGATGGGGTCGACTGGTTGTTCTCGGTCAATAAATTTGGTTTCGTTCCATAGTGGCTTGTGTCCGGTTCCGTTGGCATGTTCTGAAACCGCGGAATTCTGAGTGCGTGCGAGTCGTATATCCCTGTCGTGCTCTTTCACTCTTACATTTCTTTCTTGTTTCAAAACATGGTTTTAAAACCTCTCGTTCTTAATTGAGCCAGTAGTCAACTCTTCGATTATTTGACCATTGAGTTTGATCCGTTGTGCCGTTCTGTACGAGTAGTTCAAAATAGGACTGTTTAAATTTATATGAAATTGGTAACTGGTATTTCAACAACGTTAATGAAAGAAACGTTATGTCGGTGATGTTGTTTCTGCGGTATTCGGAAATGAAGCGAACGCCCCCTCACGCATTTAAATTCAGTGGAGCTATCTATCCAATTCACCCTTGAGCGTGAAAAAGATACCCATTTGCCCTTTTTTCATTCAAATGTGTGCTGAGCGGAACAGAGGAGTTTAGAGAATAGTGTTTATCATAAACCAACCCACACCGACAAATACCTCGCTTTCGAATCTCACCACCCTATTTGGCATAAACAGTCTGTAACTAAAAATTTACTCAATAACATTGATTCGAAGGCTGAAAAGAGAAAATATTTTATTGACATCTTAAAGATAAATGGCTACACCAAAACTTTTCTCCGTAACTGCACTCCTGATGAGAAGGAACCAACGACTGGTTTTGCTGTTATTCCTTACATTTAGGGTGTTACGGAACCCATCAAGATAATTTTGAATAGCCACAACGTTAAAATTGATCAGAAACCTTTTTAGACGTAGAACATATTTTTGCCAAACCTAAGGATCCTGTCACGAAAGAATAACGAACCGACGCTATCTATTTTATTCCTTGCAATGACTGTGATCGTGAGTACATCGGACAGACCAAACGTTAGTTTGATACACGTTTGAAAGAGCATCAAAGAGCGGTCTCCTTTTTGCGAAAAAGAAAATTCAGCCTTGTCGGAGCGCACATGCCTAACTAACCATACAATTGGGTGGGATAAGTCTAAAATTATCACCACTAGTCGACTTTACCACCAGCCTGGCATATTAACTCCGCCCACGCTCCTTAACTCGTGATGATGGCGGCTTACTACTTGACGCTTATTTACACTTCGTCAGAAAAAGGGGCAGCTAATTAGTAAGCGTATAAAAGGAGCTCTTGCTGCAGCGATTAGATCACCCCTGATGAAGGCACTAGACAGGAGTGTCGAAACTTTGGGTCTATGAATTGTAACTCCTCGGTTACGTTCATTAAATCTCTAAACCAGAGTAGTATCAAACCATGTCTGGTTTAAAATTCAGTAAAGTGTTGTTGAATGAATTTTGTTGAACGAGAAATACTGTAATTTTCGATAGAAAGGTCAAAGTCGAAACTCATATCAAGATCATTTTCCCGATACGGTTCAAATAAAGTCGATGTCCATATAATGGGTATAAAATCTATTTATAGCACTTGAAAACTTATATTAGTCAAGGACATTTGTCCCATTACTTTAAAATGTTTGTTACCTGCAACTTTTGACTTTTTCTATTCACCGCGCTCCCCGCTAATATTATTTGCAGGGATTTGTCCTACAATCAGTTGCAGTTTTTGCCTCGAGGGCTACTTAGCAATAACACCAACCTGACAGAACTGTAAGTAAAAATGATTGTAGAAAAAAGAATTAATAATTAATGATGGTGGTCTTTAAACACTTGAAAAGTTTGCTTATCTCTGCTTCGACGTGATCCGCTATCGGATGAATTGATCCAATGAGTGGTGTTATTTAGTTTTAGATCTCAGAATGCGTTCGGTGGGCCTACATTAATTATTGTCTCAAAGGAAACGTCTATCGGTTTACTGCATGGAGCTATTTTCACTGAGTGAAGCTGCTGCATATTGGTTATTCCTGGCCATTGTTTGCGGGGTCAGTGGTATTGCAAATGTCTCCATTCACCTAATTTAAATCTAAAAACACGTTGCGGTATATAACTGGTTGGCTCGTTTGGCTCCTGTATAGCTCATACCAGAAGAGTTAAGTAGCGGGCTTTCAGCCCATTTTTAAAATAGGATTTACGTTCTTAAATTGTGATTTAGCTTACTGTTATCTCAATAAATACTTTAAGGAATTTCTCAAACAACAAAATTCAGCGTCTGCCCATGGATGTTTTTGGCAACCTCACTAAGATGAAAAAGCTGTAAGTGGCATTCAACCCTAAGCAGCAAAGGGAATTATAATGTACAGTTTTTCATAGAGCTTAAAGTAAATTTATGAATTATAGTAATAATAACAATATTTTAGCCCACTTCACCAAAAGGTGCTCTTCAGAGGGGCCTTGCATCATGACCATTCTGAAAACAGAGTTGCGCGAATTTAGATTTTGTGATTATTTCAAGATGCGTACTGTCTTAATATAATGCTAACTTTGATGGAGTTGATCATCAAGAACAATTGAAAGAAAGAGATCAATATTTAATTGTCTCACACAGCCATTATTTTCACGTGACTTGTGACTATAATTTTTTCGCTGAGTAACCAGGGAACTCTGTTAAGATTGATTTGTGATGTAAGTAACCTATTATAGTTTGGTGCATCAGTACTGAAAAGTGACGTCATGATATGGAAACGCCCATGTTAACAATTAACGCGTAAATGGTATCTTTTACCTAAATTCTCAGCATCAGGAGTAAACAGTTTATGCACTCAGCAAAACTTTTATAATTCCACAAAATAGCTTTGCCAGAACCAATTGGGTTTAATTTCCATAAAGGTAAAGTCCTCCCTATTCGGAGAGAACAAGAACCTTTCCAAGAATCTCAAATTCTATTTCAACTGACTTCTTTTTCATTATATATATTATTTTAGCTTTCTCTCCAGTAACAAACTTCAGCGCTTGCCAAGGTTCAAAAATCTCTCCAAGTTAGAAATATTGTAAGTGATTCACATTTGTAATGTAACTGGTTCAGTAAGTGTCTTGATAATGAGCATTAATTAAAGGAAGCATTGGCCAAAATCAGCTTTGGTACGGACTATCTCTATGGCATCTTTTTATGACATAAAAGTTTATTAAAAGATGTTAATTGAGTTAGTTAAAAATATACACCCACTTTGGAAAGAGATGCCATCAACTAAGAATTACCAAGAGTCAAATGTTTAAGGTAATAGAACAAAATATAACACAACACATCCCCTACATTACTTTAATAACACCCTTCCCTTTGAGCTTTACAATGACCGTACGTTAGAAACGATCGCTGATTGATGATCAAACCAAATCAAACTTCAAAGATAAATTGTTATTTTTCTGAAAAAATTGTTTACCGGCTATCAAAACTTTTTGTCAATCTTCAGTTAATTTGGGATTTAAATGAAAATACAGGATCTACAGATTCCAGTTCTTAACCAACATTTGTCTGGCAGCTTTTCCAGATGTTCCAGAAAAGCATTGTTCAAATTAAAAGCATAGAATTCCGAATGGTGCGATTAGAAATACTAGTACGAGCATTAACTCGATTGCAAAAGTAAATGGGCGCACGTCCGATCATTCATTTAAATTTCACAATAGCATGACCAAGGTTTAACCATTGTTTACCTGGTGGCCAGCATAGTCCCTTCGGTGAAGGCGTAATATGATGGAACTTAATTGTTTCTGTCACAGTGCACGCAGCAACGTTTTGGTCCGAATACATTTATGGGACGTTTTTTCAGGAAGTGTTGGAGCACACTGAGGAGCAGTAGAACAGTTTGCCAAATACCTAGGCACTAATACACTTTCGAAGGAGGTTTCGAGTATTAGCATGTTTAACACGACTGACTTTAATAAAGGATGAAACAGTTTCTATAATATGAGTTAGGGTTCGGGACTAAATTAGTCTCGAGGTCCTCGAAAGATTATGCTCGGTCAAGGTTACTTTAAAAACTCTAAGTTTCGCAGCCAGCTGTATACTGCCAAATACCATTAAAGTTACTAAATGCTTCCCCCCATCGAAGACTCTGTAATTATACCGAGCGCCTCGTGCATTTTATTGTATAGATACATGGATAACAACAGCCTCGTACACCTGTCACCTGATCAGTTCCAAGGCCTGTCCAAACTGGAGGAACTGTAAGTAAACATTCGATGGAAATCATACCTGACGGCTCAAGTAACTATTATTGACCAAATATATATTTAACCAACTTTAATTGATATTCATTTTTACTCTTGGTTGGAGGACATACAACTGCAAAAACAAGGAAGGAGTATCTCAAAAATACAAGTATTCAATATTTCTGTAGTTTTACAGAGGGTCAGTATGGCGACTAAACCTTTCTTTCCAACGTTTCGCTAAATTTTTAGGCCAATGTACTTTGACTGGATAAACCTCAGAAACCTTAGCAGAATTCTGAAAAAGATGCTTTGTCATCCAAGATAGCAACTACTACCTCGGATTTCTCTGGAAAAAGACAGAAAAAGAAGAGAATTAGAGATGAAGGGATTCCCCCAAAAATTCAGCAGATCAATGGAACAATGATTTTTATAGAAGTCCAAATAGAAACATGCGCGAAGTTTTGACATTTTCAGCAAGATAACCGCAAACTGCATATCAGTGTAACTATTACATATTTCTGGCTGTGAGTTTTTTCGTACCTTTTACTATGTTTTCAAAATCGGATAACTTTTGAAGTTATCATAGGGAGAGGACACCATATTTCTGATAATAATGATGTGTCCTCTTTGTTGTTCAAGGGCTGTTTTTGAAAACAATATCAAATACCTGCCGCGTGAAGTTTTTAAAGGCATGAAAAACATGATGTCTATGTAAGTATCTAATTCTAAACTTTCCTCTAAATAACGGTAACGAGGTATTGCAAAATTAGTAAAGGTCTAGTCCAGACGCAATTGTAGGAATCTCAGAAATGTACATTATCTGAGACGAATTCGGCTCAGGGAGATCAAGAGACCCACAAAGCTGCACACCAAAAACACAGATAATTTTCTACCTCCCCCCCCCCCCCCCCCTGCAGATCATACCCTATGGATAAAACCATGCATGACTGGACGACGAGATATTTGCGATAGCGGAAGTGAAAACAGCCTGAATAAGAGATCATACTAACTAGAAGTAGAGGGAACCACCAAAAGGCAAATCAGACAAAAGCTTGGGAGACACCAAGTCTTTGTAACCATAAAAACCAGATCTTGCTGAGGTATCCCCTTCCAGATTCAAACACTGAGTTTACAAAGACTTCTACCATGAAAACGGCTCGAGGGTAGGCATGACAATACTCATGAGGTTCTTTAAATCGCCATCGGCCACGCGGATAGAAAGGGATCTGGAGCCGTATTATCAATTGCGGCTTGTATAAGAAATATTTTGTTTATTCTTGATAATCGAACTGTCAATTTGAAGAAGTTCTCCGTAATATAAAAATTCGTGAAAATACTTATGTGACATTATTGTATGACGCACTACCCAATGTACGGTGAGGTTCTTTTCTCTTTGCAGAACATTTTGAACAAATGGAAGATATTGCCTTCCATTCTTGGCTAATTTACTGTCCATTGTTGTTATAATTTATACTTTGATGCTTGTCAACTGACGCTTTACACTTTTCATTGTTTCATCGTTCTCTAGGAGCTTTTATTTTAACAACATCCGTACCGTTACCAATGAACACTTCAAAGATGTCGCTCCAACTATTCGATTCCTGTGAGTATGAGTAAACTGATAATATTCCAGGTGTGTTCAAACTACTTCGAGTTCAAGGGAGACAGATATTGTTGGTGCGACCTACACGTGCCGTAATCTCACGGATTAGCACCCCCTTCCCATTTTAATGAATGGACAAGTGATACCATTGGCCGAATTGTTTAAAAAGGAAAATGGAGTAAACAATTTTCACATACCTACCACCACTGATATACTAGAAGTGAGGATCGGCTTTGTACGTTAATGCACAGTTTATACTTTTATTTACGCCCAAGTGTTATATTCCTTGGGACGATCATAACTGGTCACAAAAAAAAGTTTGGAAAAAACTTGAGGGAGGGCCCCTCCCCATAAAGTACCCTCTCTGTAATGAGCGACCCATCGTTTCAACCTAAATTTGAAATGAGTGCACCAGGTACTCATTGGAGAATTAACAGCATATGAATATAACAAATAAAGACACTTCGGCATAGCCGGCTTGTGTAAGTACGTTTTAAATACTCAGTGACGAGTTATCCGTCTTCGGTGTTAGTTTTCTATCAAATAGTTGTTGAAAATTGGGCAGGAAAAGGAACAAGAGAGAGCCGAAAAACGGTTTAATACATAATGGTAATAGGACCAAGTGGAGTCCAATTCGGTCTGTAATCATACGAGTGATCAGCAAAATCGGACGACCGCGAGGCGGGAGTCCGATTTTTTAATCACGAGTATGAATTGGACGACAAGAAGTCCTATTACCAATTAATCATAGACATTTGAATTTTCAAAAAAAACAAATGCACCTAAACGAATATCTCCAGTGGAGACAATTTCTTTAGTTAAAAATTCCTCCATTTTGGAAATTCCCCAGTTTTTCTTTGGATAAATGGTTGTTTCTATGATTATTTCGATCATTTCTGTGATTGGTGGATTAGCTGAGTGGACTTAGTACGATTTGCTGCTTCAACTGTCCGATTACAGATGTCTGATTATAGGCAACAGTCCGATTACACTGTCCTACTATGACTGTGCCGAATGATTAGCGAAAAATGAAGCTGCGAATGCACCAATAACATTTGAGGAATTTATAATGGTTGTGATTAATAGGCTGAAGATGTCGATGTAATCAAGAATAAGCGAGCAAAGTTTACCTAAATTGCTTTACTTAAATTTGCAGGTACTTCCATTACAACGAAATGCGAGAACTACCGGAGGGTTTCTTTTCAAACATGAAGTATCTAATAACTGCGTAAGTCAAGTGGAATATTCTCGAGGCGAGAGTTGAAAATTGAAAAATTTCATTTGTCGGTGCTTAGTTATACTGTACTTTTAGTATTTCTATCACACTTTCATTTTCTCAAAAATTTAGATCCTGTTACGGATCAAATTTGTCTTTTTTTCCCTTTTGTTGTTCATTTGAACTCTCTTTATGAACCGTAGGACTGTAGATACCAACCTGATGTGTTGCCATTTGACGAAGGAGGACGCAGATTGCGACTTTGCTTATGTCGACAGCTTCGCCAGTTGTGAAACTTTGTTCAGAAATCGAGCTCCTAGGGAGTGCCTCTGGGTGATTGGAATTATGTCGTTAGTTGGTGCTGTGTTTGTCATTGTGTGGCGGTTGGTGTTTAAGGAGAAGAAGAAGAAAAACAAGATACAGTCCATGATGTTGATACATTTGGCTGGGGCTGATGGACTTATGGGTGTCTACCTCATAACTATAGGTGTGGTGGATGCCATTTGGGCAGGGGAGTATTATTTGCATGACTATTACTGGCGTTCAAGTTTGACATGTCAGGTAACAGGTGCCATTGCCGTGTTGTCAAGTGAGGTGTCTGTAATGACGATCTGTTTGCTTTCCGCCGACCGGATGAAGAATATTCTATTCCCCTATCGTGGAAAGTCCCTTTCACTTAAGGTTACGCACCTTTTGTGCTTCCTTATCTGGATTGTTGGTGGCATAGTTGCATTTATTCCCACGGTGGGCTTTGACTACTTTGGTAGTCGCCAGAAAGGTCATCACTTCTATGGCAGATCAGTTGTATGTCTGCCATTGCAGCTTTCCACCGATAAGCCGTCGGGCTGGGAGTACTCTGTTGCCATGTTTGTTGGTTTAAACTTTACCCTTGTGCTCTTTGTCATTGTGGCATATGCGGTGATAATCTATAAGTTCTGCGCATCAAGCAGGCGCATGGCTAAGCAAGGGACCGAAAGAGAGAGGAGAATGAAAGCCAAGTCAAGGGCAGCCGATTTAAGGAGGGAGGCCTCGCTCGCCAAAAGAGTGTTCTTCATTGTTCTTACCGACTGTATCTGCTGGCTACCTATTGTGGCGATTGGAGTGAGGTCTCTCCTGGAAAAATCCTTCCGTACACCTGGTGACCTCGCAGTTTGGATCGCAGTCTTTGTTCTGCCGGTTAACTCTGCCATCAATCCCATTCTTTACACCTTGTCTACCCCACAGGTACACGTACTAATAACTTGAGCAGTTGGAAAAATATATATTCAGCTAATAAGTTAAATTTTGCATTTGTATTCATCACTCGCAGATCACAGATCACATCTAAATTCGACAAGAATAAATAAGTGGAACACGAACCGCCAAGAAGTGTCTCACTTTGTATAATTTTACCGTATTTTATATATTAGCTCGTAAACTTGATCTCCACCATAATTCTGAGATCCCTGTGCCTCAGAAATCTCTTCTGTATGTAAAAGTTGCACGTTTTCACTGTATCCCACTCGGTTTGAGAGTGGCTGGAAAGCTGCACAAAAGTATTTTGCGCATTTGTGAGGAAATCAAAGATTCGAAGGGTTTAAAAACTGATGAGAAAGCACCATTTACTGATAGTAACCTCGTGTTTTGTTTCGATGTATTAAGGTTCGAGGAGTCATCAGAGCCAAACTCCAACCATTGTGGGATTATCTGATGGCAAAACTCGGCCGAAATCAAAATTTTGAAGGTAATTTTTGACACTTTCAAATAATCTTCCTTCATTTTGGGGAGTGTTCTTCCCGTTCTTTAATTTTTTTGGTTCATGCTATAAAGTTACGAACAGATATACCGTGGGTTAATCAATCAGATCGGCTCGTAAGCCAAGTGATGCTTTTTGGTTACCTACATGAATAAGAATAATGTATTTAGTGTCGCACGAGTTTGTTTGTTTTTTTTCATTTAAACACATAGGTTGACTCGATCTCAAATGATAAAAAAGACATTGCCTCATGAATGATTAATTTTGTTGTTGCTGATGTTTTGTCCGCTTGCTTGTATTTTTTCATCAGTTCAAGATCAAGGAATAGAGATGAGAGTTATCGAAGAAGGTATGCACCATTTTCTTCTCCACAGACTAAAACACATTTCAGAACTCAACACCTAGTATTCAAAAACCAAGAGCGAAACAGAAAAGCCAAAGAAAAGCATTCATGTAACTTTGAAGCAATTTGGTTCGACCTTTTTGCCAGTTTAGGAAACATGTACAAAGTATTTGAGCCTTCAGTTTGGAATTTACAGACAACCATATTTTGAGTCACTTTAATGACCGCAATTTTTCTTTATATGTAATAAGCTTAATCCTATTTTGACTGATTGATAATTATTATTTAGTGCAGGGAAGACTTATAGATTTTGTCACCACTAACAATATTTCGCTTTTCATATCGTAAAGCAAATAGATACCTATAAAAATCGCTCACAAAAAAAGTCGAAATAGGCTAAGAACACCAGACTTCTCGGCTGAGTCCAGTGCACCACGTTTTTGATGTTACCACATTTTGACGTCATCTGCGGCTATGAATAAACGGACGCACTGCAATATAGGCTACGTGTTTGGTCGGCCGTGAAACTTTTTCAAATAATGGTTTTAATAAGGTATCAAAGCCACAAAGAGATATTCGGAAAGAGCAAAAACGGAGCGTAATTGATTAAGGACGGAGAAGTTACACAATGCGGTTACCAAATGCAAGAAGAACGATGTAGCTCGTTTAACAAATTTGGCGATTTGGCCAACTACAACTACCCGAGGAAACACTTTTTAATCTTATTCCCTTTTTGTGTTTATTTTATTGAACACAGTACAAAACCAAGAGGAAGTTGAGAGCGCTGACGATAGTGAGGATGAATCGCAAGAAGAACAAGGAGATGGTGAGCAACATGCAGGATCAGGCGAAGACAATGAACGACCTACTGAATCCCAGCAAGTTGACCATGAACAAGACGAAGAACCAAAACAAGCAAAAGTAGAATCTACTGAAGAGAAGCAAGTTGAATGTGAAGAAAACGAAGAACAAAAACAAGGCCGAAAAGAACCTACTGAACAGCAGCGAGTTGAACGTAAACAAGACGAAGAACCAAAACAAGACCAAGAAGAAGCCACAGAACAGCAGCAAGTTGACCATGAACAAGACGAAGAACCAAAACAAACAAAAGAAGAATCTACTGAAGAGAAGCAAGTCGAATGTGAAGAAAACGAAGAACAAAAACAAGGCCGAAAAGAACCCACTGAACAGCAGCGAGTTCAACGTAAACAAGACGAAGAACCAAAACGAGGCCAAGAAGAAGCCACTGAACAGCAGCAAATTGAATCTAAAAGAAACGAAGCACCAAAAGATGACCATAAAGAACCCAAT